GGCCCATCTCCCCCGGCGGGTCCGGCGCACACGCAGTCGTGGGCTCGGCTGTGCAGCCGGCACGGTGCTGCTCGCCGTGCCCCGCGTGGGCAGTGCGGCGGGGGGCCGGCAGAGCCCCTGCCCGGGGGGGCGCAGAGGGGAGGGTTTTCTGCGCACCCTGCTCCTCCCTAGCCACAGGGCCGGTGACCGCAGTGGCTATTTTGCTCCTGGGTGACTCATCCCTCTCTCCTCACCTGGTTTTCATCGTCTCCCTCCAGCTCAGGTTCGCCCAGCCTGCCTCCCCATGTACGGCCAGCGATTCCAGACCGGCAGGTCCTGCTTCATCACCGGCTTTGGGAAGACCAGGGAGAACGAAGGTGAGGGTGGACGCCGGCTCTCCACAGGCAGCTCCTGCGCCTCGCAGCCCGACCCGCGAAGTCAGCGCGCGAGAGGAGCGAGCGCGGCTCTGCTGCTGTATTCGGGGGCCGTTCCCGCAGGGGTGACTCACAGCGGTTGCGCTCCCGGCTGTGCTGCTCGGCAGAAATAAGGGCTGCAAGATATAACAGCTTCCTCCCCCCCGCCACGGAAACGCCTGGTGCTGCAGAGGGGTCCGGGGCGGCGGCGGGGACGAGGCCCACGCTGCCCACGGCTCCTCCTGCCTTGCAGATAACACATCCCCGAAGCTGCGGGAGGCCGAGGTGAAGCTGATCGACTACAAGATCTGCAACAGCGACAAGGTGTACGAGGGCTACCTGACCCCACGGATGATGTGCGCCGGGTACCTGCAGGGGGGGAAAGATGCGTGCCAGGTGAGCCGAGGGCACACGGTCCCCGCCAGGCAAGGTGGCACGGGACCGGCAGGGCTGCCCGCTTTTCCCGCACGCCGGTGTCCCCCGGCTGGGTACCGGCAGAGGGGCATCTCCTCTCTCCTCACCGCTCTGCCCCTCTGTGCCAGGGTGACAGCGGAGGGCCCCTGGTCTGTGAGGACGACGGCCGCTGGTATGTGGCCGGGGTGACGAGCTGGGGGACAGGATGTGGCCAGAAGAACAAGCCCGGTGTTTACACACGCGTGACAAAGCTTCTCAGCTGGATATACAGCAAAATGGAGGTGAGGTGAAATGGCAGGGCTGTGCTCGGGTGGGGGACTTAGCAGGTGGCCCCGGGTGCGTCGAGAGGGGCCGTATCCCCCGCAGCCCGGCCCCTGGCCCCTCACCCTTGCTCCCCCCTCTCTCCCTTGCAGAGCGAGAACGACTAAGACCGGGAGGGACACTTGCCCGGGCTGTGCCTCTCCAGCCTTGGTTGCTGCCAGGGCATGATGCTACCAGCAGATCCCCCCACCTATCCCTGGACTGTCCACACAGCCAGGGACCCGTCACTGCCCCCAGCCTCTGAAAATACGGCGCCCGCAAAGTGACTCTGCCCTCGCCCAGTGCAAGGGAGGTGGCCTGGTGGCAGCTGGGCACAGCACCCAGCCAGCGCCGGCCCGGCAGCGCGCAGGGGCAGCAGCCTGTGCCAGCGGCTGGCCGTGCCGGCTGGGAGGCACCCCCTCGCCCTGTGTCTGTGGTTCTTCTCGCGTAAATAGACGTGTCCGGACGCGGGTGTCGCGAGTGCTTCCTGGCAGGACTGCAGCGCGCTCGGCGGGCGAGGGGCTGCTGGGGCTGCCCGTCGATCTGGAGGAGGTTGCGGATGGAAGCGCGGAGCAGGACAAGCCGTGGGGTGCCCACGGCGAGGGAGCGCTCTCCTCTGCACGCTGCTGCCAGGTCGCAGCTGTGCCGCCTTGGGTGTGGGACGGGGCTCAGCCAGCACGGCGCAGCTCTGCCATGCTCCCGGCGGGCAGCAGCCGCCCCCACCTGCGAGGCCACGCTCCCCGTTTTCTCCAGGGAGGGCTGAGCGAAGGGGAGCCCCGAGGTGCAGCTACACCGCCCTCTGGGAGAAGCAGTAGTTGCTCCCATGTTTGCAGATAGGTTTAGGAAGCGCCTTTTAAATGATGTTTCTCCCCGTGAGGGAAATACCCGTTTGTTTGTTTTTCCACGCCGTGGATATGGTCAGAGCAAGCACTCCCTCCCAGGACTGCGTGCAGCTGGTCTCGGTTCCCCCGCCTGCTCTGACGAGGATTTCGGCAGCGGCGTGGGGCAGGTCTGCTCTGCGGGAGTGGCTGCAGGAGGTGTGACAGAAGCCAGCAGCAGCCAAAGGCCAAGGTGGAGCGTGATGGAGAGCAGCCACCCCTCCCTGGCAGCGCCCAGCCCCGCGCCAGCGTGAGCCAGCCCCCGCATCTCAGCTCTTTGTTCGGTGACCGGTGCCGGATTGCTTCCTCCTCCCTCCGGCTGCTGAGCACACGGGGATCGCGTAGCCAGCCATGCCTCCCTGGCTACACCAGAGCGGGGACACATTTCCCCCGAGGAAACGAGTGCCCGCATCTCCCTGTGGATGCTTTGAGGCACACGGGGTGCTACGGGAGATCCCCAGGTCGGCAGCGTGAGCGCCCGGCGGGTGGGCAGAGGCTGGCCACCCCTTTGCCGAGGCTGCGCTCCTCTCCCCAGATGTGTGGTCAGCTGCAGAGGGGTTCTGGGGAGCCTGGCCACCCAACGCTCTTCTCAATAAACGTTTTGGTAGTGCTCCGTGTGGAGGCGGCTCTTTTGGACGGGCTGGAAAGGAAGCTGGGGAGCCCCAGCACCCAGGTACCAAGGAAGCCCCAGGGAGCGGGGAGAGCTCTGCCCACCCCTGGGCTCTGCGCTGCGCCCGGGGCATGGCCCTGGCCCGAGACCGCGCCGGGGTGCTCCGGGGCTGCCCTGCTCCTCGTGGGGAAAGGCCGCGCATGCCGCGGCGGGCCCTCGGGAGCGGCGCGCAGTGGGCGAGCGGGGGGTGCCCCCGTGCAGCCCGCAGGCGGGGGGCCGCAGCGTGTGCTCAGCGCCCCAACGCACACCCACTCCTGAGCTGCTCTGAGGTGGCTGCCGTTCGTGTGGGCGCATGTGATGGAGTGGCTTTTTGCAAAAGGCCTTCTTGCCCTTCACCCTCTGGGTTACTGCTCATGACTGGCAGAAAGGGGGTGTTTGAGGTCTTGTGGGGGCTTGGCAGTAGATGCTCGGGTATGCACGTAACGTAGGGATAGAGCTGTGGGGGGGTGAAGCCTGCTGGGGGGCAGGGGAGAGCCATATTGAAATTCAGCTTGTGAATGTTGTGGACCAGAGTAAAATGCCTTCCCAAGAGGGCTGCACAGCCAGCGCAATTGCCCCACGATAGAGAAACAGCAGCAATGAGCATTTAGCCTTGAATTTTCCTTGGGAGGAGGAAAGGTGACTTGCAACTGGTCTGTTGTAGCCCCTCTTCTTGCAGCTGGGAACGTTAAAGGAGGGACCGGTGCTTTGGGGAGCTCACTCGCGCTCTCTGAAATGGCCTGAAGCTGCCTCGCAAGTCTGTCTCTGCGAGCCCCGGCCACGGTGGCCTCTTCCCTCTCCAGCGCAACAGCCCCGCGCCGCGGCCTGCCTCTCCCTCCCGGGGCAGGAGGGCGGTGTGGCGCAGCGCGGGGGGCAAACCCCACGCAGAGGGCTCAGTGCTGTGCTGTCCAGCGTGTCCTGCAGAAGAACTGGAAGCATCGGTTCCCCGAACGATGTGAGTACTGGACTTTGCGTGGGCCAGGCGGTCTGGTTTCTGACCCCTATCGCTTACAGCGGGGCCACCCGGCTCTTTGCGGACTGGGAAGACTCGTTTCCTTCCTGTAAGTGTGCTGGAGACTGCCGTCCAGCCGTGCACAGGCTCTGGAGCTGCAGAGGCTCCCTGCAAAGTGAAGATGAGAAATTCTCGGGGTGCGTGGGCTGCCGCAGGCACGTCCCCTCCTCACCTCCTGGGAGCAAGCCCCGGGTTCCCAGAACTGGCCGCCTGCTGCGGAAAAGGTTATCTGCCGGCAGAGAGCTGCGGTTTGCATTTGAATTTTGGGATAGCAGGTCTAGTCTGGCTCTACGTGTGCAGAAAGCACCTACCTCTCCCTGGGACTCGGAGCGGGCCCCCGTGCGCAGGGCGGTGCTTGGCGGCTGCTCTAGACCTGCACCGAAACAATAAGAGTTGTTGCCTTTTGGGAAACACTGAGTCAGCCTGACCTCAAATAGTTTTTCAAAGAAGCAACGCAGAAACCTCCCACGGAGTGCGCGAGCCTCCTGTGAAGGGGGCGTGCAGAGGCCGAGGGACCGTTTTCACTTTGCTTTGTAACCTCTTTGCCGCTCGGTGGGGTCGGGGGGCAATAACCTGCTGCTGGCCACAAGCCGTCCGGAGCTCAGCCCGGAGAGGGACTTTGCCTTTGTAGCTGGGCTGCAAAACCCAGCCTGTTCGGGCCCCTGTTGTGAGGGGGCCATGACCCGCTAGGAAGCGCAGAGCTGTAGGATTGATGGTGATAGTCGGAGAGCGCGCAGAGCCCGTGGGCGCGGGGAGACGTACGTGCCGAGCTCCACCGTGCACGCCCAGCTGGAGAGCCGTGCGGGGGTGCAGGTGCTGCCCTGCAGCCCTGCCCCGGGTTGGGGTGCATCCCGAGGCAGGGGGTCACGGCCGGGCCGGCTCAGCCTCCTGGGGGAGGCCGGGGGCTGGCTGGGCAGGGCACGGGCTCGGGGGTGCTGCTCGGCTGGGAAAACGCTGAGCCAGACCAGAAGGGTTGGTGGGTACTGACACGCTGAAAGCCGGGGCTAAAAACTGAAGTGTGAAAAGGGCTCGGGGCAAACCTGCTGCAGCAGCCGCGCGGCCGGGGCGTGTGAGGCGGGACGGCCGTGCTGGCAGCAGTGGGCAGGCACCGCTGCCTGCGCGGGCTCAGCCGCCCTCGTCGCCGCTGCCTTGGGCTCTGGTGGCTGCGGGGTGGAGGCTTTCCTCCCGGTACCACGGACCAAGCAGGATCCGTGCTGCACGCGAGGCTCTTTAGGTGCCCTGTGTTAGGGGCTAGGTGCCGCCTCTGCCCCCGGCCACAGCGGAGGCAACAGGGAGGAACGGGGGCTCTTGCTCCCCGCCACGCAGAGGCACCGCGTCTTCGCCGCCCGCGTTACAGCTGGCTGCCCTGCACGTGCGGCGGCGAAGGCAACGTTTCTCTGACAAACAAAAGCAGTTGAGATGGGGTAAGAGCAGGGGCCCCGCGTGACTTCCCCCTTTTATGTTGGTCTGATTAAATGGTAAATTCAACGGGTCCCGAGTTACGGACCCAGCTTACGTTTGGCCAAAGGCTCTCCGGGATTTCAGGGTTTCTGCTCATAAAAGCCGTAGCGTGCACCACAGAGCAGCAGCTCGTAACGTTTTATCGGTCTGAGATGGCGTGCTGGAGAAACAGATCTTTTGAGAGAGAATAAAACAAAAATTGGATGTACTAAGAGCTGATCTTGCTGGAACTGCGTTCCTGGTGACGGTGCCATTTCAGCGCACCGAGGACCTGCTCCTCTGCTGTGGATTTCACTGCCTCAGAGGCTCTTGCTCTTCTGCTCTCTGAAATAGCCTCAATATATTGAATAGAAAAACGATTTCAGCCCCGAATACAAATTTAATTTTTCTTCTGAACCTGCCATCCAGTGGTCCCTCCTCCCAGGCCCGCAGAAAGGTATGCTGTGTTTTCCCAAGGGCTGAAGTTTTCTAACCAGATGAGAAGCGACGAGTTTCTCGTGAAGCCGCCCGGCCGCGGCCGTTGTGCTCTGCTGATCCCAACGACAACGCCGTGCAGATGAAGCAGGCGTCTCGGACACCGCTTCGGCTCTGCTCCTGGAGCACTCGAGCAGAAAGGTCCTGCTGTCTGGAGCGGCGGGGGAGCGCAGCCGCAGCGGGTGCCAGCCCAGCCCGGAGGAGCCCCGCGGGACCGCCGGGCCAGCGCTCGGGCACCGCAGCCAGGTAGGGCCCCTGGCACCTCTGCCTCGCGGAGAGCCCCGCTGGGAGCGGGCTTTGCCTCTGCTTTGGCTCCTCTCTTGCACGGAACCACCTTTCCCTTGCGTCCAGCTGGCTGGGGAGGAGATCACGCTGGGGTTTGGGTTAATCCAGTTCGTTTTGCCGATGCCTTTCTGGGCAGCTCCCAGCTGCGGCGCTGCCGTCCCTGGTGCACGTTCTTGGCAGGTCCCGTCTGCGGGGGAGCAGCCCACAGCGGGCAAACACCCCAGCGGGCAGGCCGTCCCCGCTCCCTCGGCTGCGCCCTGCTCCGGAGCCTCTGCCGAGCCGGGGGGCGCCGAGCGTGGCCCCGCATCTGGCCAGGCTGTTTCCGTATTCCTCCGTGCTTTAGAAATCACAGGCCGGGGGCCCCAAGGC